AGTAACTTGATTTAAGTCAGACGGCTAGTCAGTGGCAGAATCAAAACTCTAAATCCAGGCCCTATACTCCCTAAGCATAATACTACATTACTGTCTTCACCAGAAAGGCAGCCCACCCAATGAACTTGCCTGTGCAATACCCTTAAAAAAGTTAAAAGAAAAAAACCTAAAATATAAATATGCTTAAATTTCTGTCAGTAGTTTGAAGCCTGGAGGTCAAAACATGATCTCATGGGAGGGGTCAGAATCATAAAAGGTTTGCTCTTTATGAGGAAGACTTCAGCACAGAGCAATTAGAAAGAGCTGAGAAGATCTCTGAAAAAATTAGTTCACAGAGACTCTTCCCTAAAAACAAAACAAACAGAATTGATTTGACTAAAATGCTATAAAATAGGAAAAACAATTATGCTCAGTAATCCAATTACTGCTCTCCTAGTTAAAAGAGTATATTTAGGGGACATCAAGATGTAAACTTAGGAAATATTAAAGGCAGGAGTTATTAGAACTTCCAGTGGCCTGGGCATCTTCATTAGTTCTGGTTTCAAACTAGGGCCATAAAATTAGATTCTGTATCAATTATAAAAAATAATCTGCTAACTCAATGTTCCTTTGCTTAAAGTTGAAGCATAATTACTGGAATTTGGAACTGCTAAAATCATCTCAATTATCAATTTGTTTAGGTTCCAACAAATAATATTAGGAGAAAATTAGATGCATCAGTTGGGGTTCTTTGCAACATAAGCAGCAGGAAAACCAGACCTGGACCAAAGCAGGCCCACTAACGTATGGAGATCTACAGAACAAAAGGATGATTGTCTGATCAGGACACGGGCGTGAATGAATGAATGCCAACTAGTTTTATTCTTTTTATCCCTCTGCTCAAGATTCAGATTCCAAAAAGGGAGCACTGAACTGGCCCAGCTTGCANAATACTACATTACTGTCTTCACCAGAAAGGCAGCTCAAGATTCAGATTCCAAAAAGGGAGCACTGAACTGGCCCAGCTTGCATCACTAGCCCTCATCTGGGCCATCAGGGAAGAAAGCCCCTGAAAAGTCCTACCTGATTACATCCAGTGGGGAAGGAGAAATTGTTTGGAAGCAGAAATATACGCTGAACAGAAAACAACAATAGACAACCCTGTCCCAGTAACACTTAGCACATGGATGGAGGAGTAGTCCTGCCTCTTCCCAATGAGAAATCCCATCTACAAAGATGGTGAATGCTCAGTTGCTGGACTCCAAGGGCAAAGATGATACACCACAGAATGACTGCTCTATTTGATCAGAAATAGAAAATCAAGGAAATCTCAAATGACTACGTGCAAGCCATTAAAATAATTTTGAGGCCCTGGACGATGTGGCTCAGTTGGTTAGAGCATTGTCCACACACTGAAGGGTCACAGGTTCGATTCCCAGTCAGGGCACATACCCAGGTTGCAGGTTCAATCCCCAGTCAGGGCACATACAAGAGGCAGCCAATCGATGTTTCTTTCATACATCAATGTTTCTCTCTCCCTCTCCCTTCCTCTCTCTCTAAAATAATGAAAAACGTATCCTCAGGTGAGGATTTACAATTTAATTAATTAATTAATTAGAGGTATAATGTATAAAAGCCAATATGAACTTCCAGAAGTCAAATAATCAAGACAGAAAAATAGGAAAAATAAATCCCCCATAATCAAGAAAAAAAGTCATCTCGTTTGGAAAGCTAACAGTGAACTAGGAAAGGTTTGTCTCACATTCATGGCAACAAGTTTGTCCATATTTAATTGATTTGTACTAAAACAGACACCCGATGAGATTATCCAGCTGCTCAAGGTCAGGAAACTTTTGAAAAACTAAAACAGGGTATGAATTATTTAAGAGTTCTGAAAAGACACAGGCTTTTCAAACCATTTCACAGTATCGGTTGACATATCAGTTACTGATTTGGGGATAATTTTATTACAAGATCATGATAATGTAAAACATTCTGTAATATGTCCCAGTAAAAAATGATTGCCAAGGGAAAGAAATTTATTTGTCTTCTTTATGGAAAGAAAGTTTGGCAATTACTTGAGCCATAATATCGTTATTTATGAGAGTACCCTGAGGACTGATCATTAAACCTTAACACTTGGATAAAAACTACCACTGAGGAGCAGAGGTGGCTGCAGAAGACTTCAGGACTTCTAAATAAATAAAAATTCAAGACTTGCTAGTTGGTGAAAACCCTTAAAGAGGACCCTCCATAAAAAGTAGGGTCTCAAAATGCATGTCATGGGTCTCTCCTCAAAGGGCATTATATTTACAATGTTGCTTAACTAAAATAGTTTCACTTGAGAAAGGAGAATATGGAAATTTCAGACCCCCCCACATCTCCAGTTTGTTTCCCGGTCTCAGTGGTAGGAAGACAGAGATTTAACCAGAATGGGCATTTTATGACAGTAAAAAAAACCAAGATTGAATCACAATAAAATAAAAGGGAAAACCCCTGGAAGTTTTAGTCTCTGCAGGCTCTGAGAGGCCACAAGATTAATCCTGAGAAAAACAGTTCTCAAAGATGAGCTTTTTTGCCATATGGATCGGACTGAACACCAATGCCCTCCAAGCATGAGAGGGTGGCAACTTGCCACAGAGGCACCTGCTGTAAAACTGTCTTCCAGCAAAGATCACACGCCATTTGGCCTTGTCAGCTGAGACTACCCAACACCACCATCAAACCCCTTCATTCAAATGCTGAAAATTCGAATGTAATGAGGCTCTTCCCTAACACAGCCAGGACAGTCTTTTCCACCTTGAACATCCACAGCATGTGCCCATCTAAAGTCCTTAGACTTCTTACAAATTAGACTACTTTCTCTCTGCTCTCACCTCTTACTGTCCTCTTCCAACAACCCCTCACCCCTTGCCATTGCATCTAAGCTTCTGTCACACTGAATGACCTAATGGACTACAAGTGCTCTGTGACCTAACTAGCCTCAGGACCTTTGCACATGCTGTTCTCTCTGCCTGCAGTGTCCTTTCCACCTTTGTCTTCCTCCTCTGACTACTCCTGTTCACCCTTCAGTATTCAATTTCATGTCACCTTTTCTAGGTGTTTCCTTAAACATTTCCCACTACTGGGCTAGGTCTTCCCTTGATGAACTCTTCTGACACTCTTATAATTAAAGTATCTATGGCACTCACCCATAACTACCTACTTGTCTATGTTCCTACAGACTAGATTTATCTTGAAGGCAGGGACCACAAAGAGAAGGCAATGTATCAATATTTGTTCAATAAACAAAGGATTTTTGTGTGTTTGACTTTGTCCCCCTGTACTCAGCATAATACCAGGCACACAGACAGCTTTCAGTAAGTATTTGCTGAACGGATCATAGGCACTCAAAAACATTCACTGGATGAATACAGTAACAGGCAAATGACCAGGAAGTGCTACATATCAAAAATCTTAACTTCCAATATTCTACTTTCTGACCTCAAAACCTATCCTTCTAGCTCTTTCAGACTCTGATATTTTGGTCACTGGCTTCATAGAGATGTCCAGTCTCCTAGCATCTCCATAGCCACCAAGTCTTTAAACCCCTTGATGGCATCTTTTCCTTTCCTACTCAATCTGAGCCCATTTTTTATTATAAACTTTTAACCTGTGCTTTTAGTTTTGTAAAAACCCAACCCTATACAAAACTCTGATGTCATAAATATTCTGTTTTCACAGCTACTAAAAATACCACACCAGGATAATGTACTGCCACTATGTGTACGGGGCCCCCTAAAAATGCAGCCTTTAACCTCAGCTAGGACTCATCATGGTGGTCAGTCCTTTAACTTGGAGTCACCTTCCTCTTATCCGTGCTTCTCCACTCTCTCCAATTATCATCTCTCTCTTCAGTCCAACTATCCACCCTCACTCACTGTTCTTGGCAGATATCTTTGCCTCCTACCTTATCAGATGACTGAGATAAGAGGGTATCAACTCAACTCTGCCTCCGCACAACATACTTAATTAAATCTGCATCTGTTCTTTCCACCTTTCCCTCTGTGTCAGAGGATGAGGTGTCTGCCCTGTAGCCTGGTCTCCACTGAAGATGAATCCCCTTATCTGTGCTTTCAATCTCATCACCTTCCCTCTTCCATCAGACTCCACTTTATGTACTAACTGCTCTGTCATATCTTCAGTTTCTCTCTTTCTTCCCGGCTTTTCATTCTCAGTATATAAATATGCTAAAATTCCTCTCTTAAATGCTTCTCCCCTCTGCACCCTCCTGCCAGCATTGGCCTGCTTTTTTTCTTTCCCCTATCAGCCAATCTACTTGTAGCACTATTCTCCGCCTCATCATGTGCCGTTCACTCAGACAATACAACCAAATTTTTGTGGGTCATATGCAGGGGAAAAATTTTCCATAACTTGAAATACTATTGCCCGCAAGAATTTAAACTCTAAAGTCGATATATAATGAGTCAGCAAGAACACAGAACGATATCCAGGCCAGAGTGAGACAACATCAACAAGGCAATTGGTCCATAAATTAGCAATATCCATCTGAGAGGGGGTACCTTGGCCATAATAAGGATGGATTATGCTGGCACAGTGTCACTTAAATTCTATATATTGCCCTTATTTTTAATCCTTCAGATTGCATTTGACTTCCCATGTTAAGGTGCCTCTACAGAGAGCAAATTTCTCATTTCAGGAGATTTCAGGATGAGATTCACAGGGTGAGGCAAAAGTAGGTTTACAGTTGTTTGCATGGTAAATAATAATACAAGAATAAACTCTGTGTTTCAAGTACTCACACTGTCAACCTACTTTGCCCCACCCTGTAGATTAGTTCCCCTGCTCAAACTGTTCCACTGCTCAGATGACTAGATCCGGTAAACCTGAAGGTTCATAATCTAATGTGAAAGGCAACACGTTATTTTTAGGAAAGTGAAATAAATCATCCATTGAACAGAGGTTGTTCCATTTAATCATCCATTTTGTCAAGGCTAAAAGAAGGAATGATATACTGTTACCATCAAAAAGTCATGTGAGGATGTAGAGGCTGTGTCCTTCTCAAATATCAGAAGAGCCTTCCGCATCAAGAAAAGTGCTTTGGACAACTTGTTCTTCCCTATTTTGTTCATGACACTTACTTCTGGAAAAGTGAACACACATTTTACCAAAGGGTAACATCAAAACTATCATCCCAAATTTTTGGAAAGACAAGTCATCCCAGTTTTAATTACCTGTAAAACAATCAGTGCTTCCAGGTTGCTTTAGCTTTTCTGGACTTTTGGAAGATGTATTTTTGCTAACGGTCAGAGTCTGCAAAACTGGAGGAAGAAGGGGACCACCATTACAACCAGGCTCATATCCAAGAAAGGACATACTTTCTAAACACTAAAGAATAAGTATCCATTTGTAAAATTATCGCTTCCTCTTATCACGCTATCTTTTTTCCACTGATGGATTAAACATGCAAACAATTCTACTATAATGCAGTTTTAGTGTCAGGTCTTCTTATAATCTGCCACAATATACCAGAGGACACAAAAATTTTCAAATTACTTCTCACTCAAAAAAAGTGTATATGTATTTTCCATTTCATCTTAAATAAAATCATCTTAAAGATTGATAAATAAGATCCAATCAGCTTCTGTTCACTCTCCCTTTTCATGAACTTTTCACAACCGCTTCCATCCACAGTCCCTGCAAGAGTATAATGTGAAGACATCATTCCCGTCTAGCTGATGAAATGAGAGCCTCTTTCAAGGTTTCCGACTAACACAAATTACTGCCAATTGACTGCAGGCAGTGAGACATCCTGGTGTGCAATCAGGACTGACGGTCATGGTGGTCCAGGAAAGAGAGGTCGCTGGATGGAGGAGGAAGGGCCAGGAAGATGGAGGATGTTGCACTGATTTCTTATTTCCCAGGTCTGGTTCTCAAGAGACCTGCCAATATTTTGTTTCTCTTCTTGGAGGTGTGTAAGGGTTCCTTACAATAAACCCCTTACACTGAAGTTTAATTATTTGTGCTAACGCATGTCAGTCACCATGGCATGGTGATTGATGAAAAGATGCCAACTGACACCATTGAAGGATATAAGGTTTCTCCAATGGCGAAGAGTAAGGGAATTTATCTGCATGGAGATAGCAACACAGAGCAGGAAATAATGACTCATTCTGTACCTAGGGCACTGCAAATGCTAATTAAGCAGCAGCCCTCATGATTATAATTATTGGAGATAAAAAGGATGAGATTGCAAGGAACCTTTGACTGCCCAATAAAGGTAAGTCATATGTACTGCCGCTGTCATCAAAGGGGAGCCACTGCAGCGTTCTCGAATAAGAACGGTGAAAGCAGTCTTTAGGCAATATTCTTCTGGCAGCAGCAAACACGGGTGGAGAGAGGCGGGAAGAACAGGCTGAGCCATGTGCTAGGGTGGGAGCTCAACACAGCGGAGGGAAATCCAAGGAGACCCAGAGACACTGCAAAGGAGTAACAACTGAATATTCCACTGAAACTTAAGCTCAAGCCTACCTTCAATATCTTTGAGTGGCCTCGGATAAAAACTCAGAGAATCATTTGGCTTTCAAAGATTTACAGACGACAATTAGAGAATGAACTGTTTAATGACTCTATCAGTAAATAGACACTATTTCTACACTAAAGAAGATAATGCAGTGACTAAATGAGAATCATGAGCTAGTTTTCTTAAAAGAAAAATGCATAAATGCCATTCACATTTTTAAATACATTCCTAGATCCAAATCTTCTGAAACTAAAGAATGTTCAAAGCTGTTATTCTAAGTGACTTCATACATTAGAAAAACCTTATCAGGTTTTTCAATTTCTATATGACACAGAGATATTTTAATTATTATTTGCTTTCCTCCACACCACGTAGGTTTTTTAAGAAACAGTTTTTGAAACAACGTAAATGTTTAAAATGAAATATGAAAGGATAAAAGAATGAAAAAAGGAAATTTTATCTCAGCAAGCAGTTGTGTGTGTATATCAAGTTGATAACATAACCATACAAAAACTAGATTTAATTCAAGCAAATCTGAAAAGTCTTTGATGAGTAATATATCCTAAAGACAAAATGAACAGCAAAGAAGTCCCTACTTTGCTTATTAAGTTTGTTGCCAATGGTGGAATTGGTTTAATAATTTTGAAAGTACTTTATTAATATGTAGGATAAAGAAAATTACTTATTACATTGATATTGTTGGAAACCAGGCTTTTCAGCATGGGAGAAGGAAAATTCAAAAAGGAAATGCAGAACTTTGGACTTTCAAAGTGCGGGACTTGGAATTGGCAGTATTAGAAAGAATTTGTGATATAAGTGTATATTCCTCTCTCTACTGACAAAAAAAACTAGCTGACATTCCAATACCTTGCAGATCTTAGCTTTAAATACTATTCCTTACAAAAGAACCAGGAATCCTTACAAAAATGTCTGGTTCCAGGTCTGGGGTAGATAAAGCATAAGGTAGGTCTAGAACATTTTGTTGTGCAGAAAGCAAGAAATTACTCAAAGAATCATGAGGACATAGCAAAAGAACACAGAATCCATTTGGAGGCCTCCCAATGGCAAAGTGTATGACTCTGAGCATCAGAAAGAACAATGATAGTAACTAATGTAAAAAGATTTAATAAAAAAAAAAATCCAATCCATAGTATAATTCAAAACTTTAAAGGGGAGAGTAGGGACAGTTCTACTTTACAAACGTCTGCAAATAAATGTGGCAGGAATAGTTCAATTAGAAAATCACCATGTACAGCCATCATAATAATTCATTCCAGAAGGATCACCAGTAGATGCTAAAACCATTGGGTAAGGAAAAATCTGTTGAGGAATATAGACATTCATCCCATCTCAAAGCACCATCTGACAATACCAATTACTTTTTCACTATAAAGGTACCATTAGGTAGACACCTCCTTAACAAAATATTGCTGCTTTGCCTCACCAATGATAGGACAAATGGACAACATGAGCAGCCTAACGTGGTATGACGGGCTGAGGAAACTACCAAGGAAACTTAGACTATAGTATGTCTTAGAAACATATCATCAAAAATAAGTCAGAACAGGAAAAAAGTTACAAGAATTATACTAGATTAAAGAAGAACATCCCAGAGGGGTGATGGCAGCACCATGGCAGCAGCAGATGTTTCTCGGTTTTTGGCCCCTCCCCCACCAAAACAACGGAACTAGTGAGCATTCACAGACAGGAGTGTGTCGGAAAGAGCAAAGCTGGAGACATCACACTCCTGATTTCAAACTATATTACAAAGCTATAGTATCAATACAGTATGGTACTGGCATAAAAATAAACACAGAGACCAATGGAACAGAATCAAGAGCCCAGAAATAAGCCAATACACATACATTCAATTAATATTTGACAATGGAGCCAAGAATGTTTGATGGTGAAAGATAGTCTCTTCAAGAAATGGTGCTGGGAAAAATGAATATCCATATGCAGAAGAATGAAACTGGACCCCATCTTATACCACATTGGTCTTGGCAACAATTTTTTTTTTTATCTGACAGCAAAAGCACAAGCAACAACAACAAAAAATTAGTAAGTGGGGCTACATCAACTGAAAAGCTTCTGCACAGCAAAAAAAAACAATCAACAAAATGAAAAGGCAACTTGTAGAATGAGGAAAAATAAAATAATACAATTGATCTGGAAAACACCCAGTTGACAAGGACATAACTTACAAAATTAAATTGATTCTATTCTTAGATTTATCTTAAAATTGATTCAGAACAAATTATTTGCTTCAATGACTACTACCTTGCAACTGGTCAAGAAGCACAACAGCTATTTGGTGCTGAGCTTGAATTAGTTCAAGATGCAAATCCATCATGAAACTATTTGTTGTGACTGGTTTGGAAATGTCTCCAGCTACATCATCGGTGTACTTTGATAGAGTTGAAGTAAAAATAAAAGAGAAATACCATTAACAAAACATACTTACTAATAACAGTTCTACGCTTGCTACAAGCACCCAAGCTGTCATTTTATTCCTAGCCATTAGATCCTGCTCATTTCTCAACCCTTTGCACTCTGGCTTACAAATCCATCTTCAATGACAAATTCAAAGGCTCCTCACTAGTCTTCCCTTCTTCTGGGAAGAGGGGACTGAATATGTTTCTGGTTTATGAGAGGGAAACCACCACAAATCCTTCTTTACTTATCTACTTGCAAGCCCAGCCCTCGTCCTAGGTAAGTAAAAGTGAAATCTAATAGAAGAGTTTCCCATTCTTACCTTGGTATAGTAATGGTCAAACACTGATAATCCATTTGGCAAAGTAGTTAACATGCAATTGAAATTTATTGCACCAATTGCTTTGTCAAGAAGTTCATAAGCCAAAAATAACTGTTCCAAGGGTGTTTTCTAAAGTGATTTTATAAACAAAAAATAAAAATAAAAGTTGAGGAAAAATCGTATGCCACATTTTTAAACTTCTTTTAACAATAATCTAAAACCACATAATTTAAATAGTCTATCCAAAGTCAACAATATTTTATTTCTTACTGTGTATTTGTCTTTTGATTAAATATGAAGTACTAAGGCCTGGGTGGAGGAGCGGATGCAAGGTGGTGGAGATCAATGGGGGGAGGGGGGGAAGGGACATCTGTAACACTTTCAACAATAAAGATAAATTTAAATAATAATGATAATAAATATGGAGGTCTATTACTAAAAGTAAAATAATAAATACATTTCACCACTTTTCCAAATATAAATTAGACACTTCACAAGCATGTATGAAACTTCTTTTTATGGTTTTCAGAATTCTGACTACCAGATGTATAGGTAAATTTTTTAAATATAACTCATTTGTCATTTTCACATACTTTATCTTTTTTTACCCTCAGAAAGTTAACTTTTTTTAAACCTCAGATTCTCAGAGCCAGAAATTTAGACTTAGATAAGCCATCAAAACCAATGGTCTACATCATGATTTTCAAAAACTAAATACCTTTTTAATGTAATTATTCTTATAGAGAGACTACCATGAAAAGCAACCAACTTTGTTCAAACTTTCTAACTCTCTGTAGTCTTCTGTAGGTTCTAACTTGATGTGTGAGTCTCAGTTCCAAGCCTTTATCTTTTTGTGCCCAGGCCCCATCTCTTGTCCCTGGATGGCTGTTATCTAAGTGTTTGTAACTGAGCTGATCAACCTACTACAGCATCTACTCATAAACTTACATTCTGGTTTTCTGTTCCCCTTCCTATTTTGGCCCTTGGGAATTTACCTTACTTTCCAGTGAACTCTGCAATGTACTTGAGGACACTTGTTTAGTTCTATCCCAATTTCTAGGTGTTTTGCAGCAAGAAGGTTTTTCTGATCATCTAGTTTGCTGCTTTTCAGGAAATCAAAGTCTCTAAGTATACCTTTTTAACATCGAAAATTTCAAAGACCCCCACACACACATTCTACCGTCATCATTACCACCACCATCTTTATCATCACCATCTTCATCACAGCTAACATTTAATTAAATCATGTTCCGGGTACTAGACTAAATGCTTTACATAGATTAACTTTTAAATTTCCATACTCTGATGAGGTAAATACTCATTAGTTGTTATAATTTTATAATCCATTTGTTGAAAACTAGCTGTCACATATTCAGTATAACTTTCAAATAATATTTAATGTAATCACAATAGCACCTCATGTTTTTTTAAACAGTTGCATGTGTATATGCAAGATACATCATTTATCCCACCCACAGACTCTGCTAGGTGAGCATATGGGTACTGTACTGTCCTGACAATACTTTGTTGCTCCATCTCCCCACTTCACTCCCCTCCACATGGGCCTAAGACCCCAAGTTGAGATTCAGGGCTCTGTATGAAACATGAGAAAAACTGAACAGCTACCATATGCCAGGTACTGTTTTCCGCAATGTGACCAATACCTCATTTAAGTTCTATGACTTAAATGGTGCCAGTGGAATAGGTACTATTGTTATAATTTTACAGACGAGGACACTAACATTAAAATAGATGAAATTTAATCATTCAAGATCACACAAGCAGTAAAAAACCAGAGTCAGGACTCAGCTCCAGGTCTCCCAACACTAACTGCGCCCTTAGACCACACACGTTAATCATATCTACTACATCCACCATGTGCCCCAGTATAGCTGGGAAGGTTGTATACTGCACAATTTTAGGGGATGCCACTGACACTGTTGTCATCATTATATATTGTCATCATTATATACTGTATATATTGTATATTTATTTTGACAATTTCCCATCAGATGACAGTAAATCATCTCAAGGAAAGAACGTCATTTTTCTAATTTAAGTAACAGCAACAGTTCATAAGTCATGTTCAGTTTTTTGTTGTTGTGGGAAAATTGCCACCTTCTAAGGAACCCATTTCATTTACTGGTGTTAGTTGCCAGAAATTTTCCATCACAAGCCCAAACCTAGACTTTGGAACTCCCACTAGAAGTCCTATCCCTGCCTATGAAGCCTTAGAGAGTGTGTGCCAGCCCACTAAGCCAGTGATTCGCAAATTCTTGTTTCCTAAGAATCTACCTCAGAACTTTTAAGAGACACATGCCTGAATTAAGAACTTTTAAGAACCTCACACCTGAATTTATGATTCAATATGTCTAGAATGGAAAACAGGAAGCTGCACATTTGGCAAGCACTATAAGTAATCCCTGAAAACACCACTGGCAGACAGTTATTACGTCTCCTCAATCTCTGAAACAGTTCAAACATTCTCTGTTTTTAATTTAAGATTTCTTAACTCTAGCTCTCTTCACAAGACACACCATATAGTGCAAAGAACTCCAAAATTGCATTCCCTAAAACCAATAATTAGAAGATGAACATTCATTTGAGAAAGTAATTTCAGAATGACCTTCCAGTTTCCCTCAGTATTTTCATGATATCTGATTGGTACCCAGTGTCTTAGGACTTGTATTTTTTGTGCATTAGAAAAATATATTTTATACAAATATCCTGAAGATAACTTTTTACAATCAAAAGTCAACATAGCATAGTAGCTAAATGCCTGCACTGTGAAAGAAACACATCAAAGTTCGAACTCACTTACAGTGTGACTCTGAGCAACTTTGAAGTAGCAATGAAAATGAATTCTATGACTATACAAATCAACTTGAGTGCATCTCACAAACACAATACTAAGTTTTAAAAAGCAAGCTGCAGAAGAACACACACAGTGTGTGTAACACTACTTATATAAATTTTAAAATAATACTCTCTACTGCTCAAGAATATACACAGATATAATAAAAGTACAATATTAAAATGCCTGGAGTTTATCATCACTCTATTTAGAACAGCCATTACTCCTAGGCAGGGGCCCAGAGGGAGTCAATGTGATCACAAGGGGTTAGTGAGGGATTTGAGTTCCAACTGTACTAGTACTAGGAATGTTTGTTTCCTTAAGCTAGTAGTTGGGGAGATGGGTCTTCTTTATAATTTTATATCATATCATTTAAATCAATTTTTCAGAGAAAGTATAGTAATCATTAGGATTAACACTTAGCAACAGGAAAAGTGCTGATAAAATAATGTTAAGAAAAATATCAGAAGGCTATTCTATTTTTTAAAAAGACTAAGAGAAGTGAAAAGACTAGAAAAGAATATTTTTAAATGATAATACTTAGGTCTATAGTGAAATTACATTTTCTTCTTCTTTTTTTTGTACCTCAAAATGTCCTGTAATGTTAATACAACATTTGTAACTTAAAAATTATAGTTTTTTAGTTAATCGGGCAAACCAAATTATAGATCACTGGCTTCCTAGCTAAAAACGCATTTTCAACTGTAGTCCGTGTCCTAAGTAGGTTTTCTATAGGGTATAAAATGAGTTTTATTCTCAAATAATGGAACATATGGGATTCTACATCTCCTTCTTGGAAAACCACAGTACTGATAAGCAAATTAATGCCTCTGAGAGTTCTTACAGTAAGAAACCTATTGTGTTTAATCCAAAGTCACCCAAAGTTACTTGACTGTGGCATCCTTTCCTAAAGTGTAACACTAGCATCACAGAGGAGTTTGTAAAATGCTATTCTAGTTCCAACCTGTAAATAAATGAATGTTTATTATATATATGAAGCAGTTCCCTAGATTCCCGTTCATATCTATAGAACAACACAATCCATGATATATGGATTCAAATATTATAAGAAAAAACATAACCAAGAAGAGGAATGGCCATTCATCTCCCTCATCTCCTTTATCTCTTAAGCTAACACTCACTGAGAACTTGTCCTATGCCAGGGACTGTTCCAAGTGCATTTTAAACAGGTAACAACTCACTGTCAGAGGCATATGCTGAGTAAGATATCTCTGCTCTATAAGTCACAACATATTCAAGTTGAATATTACAACATATTCAAAATATCAGTAGTAATGTAACTATAAATCCTTTTAAGATACTTTATCTAGTTTATTTTTAAAGCAAAAGCAAAAGGTAGAAAAATGTCCCTGTAGTTTTAAATACATACAGAAACCACAAATTATCAAATTTTAAATATTCAAAATTATTTTATAATTAACCATTATACATTTATTTCAAATTTAATATTATTTGAGAAGTAAAATTCATGTTTTTAACTGTATTTTTTAAAAAAATTTTGTAATACCTTTAATATTGGAAGAATTTCTGTGCCCTCCTTCGAAGTCCCAAGCAATTCACTAGTCCCTTTGCTTACAGATATCTCTGAAAAGAGAGAGAGAGAGAAAGAGAAGAGGGAGTACAGGACGGCATCAGAGATACTTTTCCCACTGGGGGGGCTTTCATCAGTTCTGGAAAGGGAAGCTGAGAAGCCGAGTAGTACTCTTGACAGCCTCGATGGGCTGAAGCAACAAGGATTAGTAGCCACTAAGGGTGAGAAGCCAGAAGGGGCTGCATCCTAGGAGTCAGGAGAAACTGAAAACAGGTTTTCAAAGAGACTATCTCAGCTTCAAATTATCTTAATCTCTCAAGCTGGAATAATGGGATCCTGGAGTAGCAGTGCCTCTGTGCATCTAGTAAAAGCAAGTATAAATCTTCTTTGGAGGAAGACAGTGTCATCTATGGTCTCAAATTATTTCTATAAAATATTTAGCAAATATGATGTCTACCACACAATCAAAAATGACCAAATGCTCCAAAGGGCTAATGAAGTTCTTCGCTGAAGAATTCAACATAATAAATGCAGAATGAATGACAGAAGTTTAAAGCCCCTTCTGGCTTCTCACCCCCACTCCCTCCAGGAGCTTTCAACCAATGACTATAAAAGTTGTATAAATACCCCCAACCTCCCAGCTCTCCCAGGCATGTTCTATAAACTCTCCTAATGGTCCCTCATGGGAATAAGCCCTGGACTTACCTACCCTTCTCATTAACTTACTGTATTTCCTATTGGCTTCCTTTCCTCTGTCACACACACACAAACACACACACACACTGAATGAAGTATTTGCTGGTGAAATGAAATAATAGTTGCTTTAAAACACTTCAGGAAAAAAGAAAGTGTTGCAGGGAGAAATAAAATGAAATAAAATTGACAATATGTTGATAATTATTAGTACTGAATGATGCATACATGGTGATTTATTTCATCTCTATATTTGAAATTCTGCATAATAAAAGTTTTAAAAAAGAAAAAAGCATTTAAAAGACAGGACATTTCAGAAAATATGACTTCAGGCCATTGATTGTGTTAGATAGCCAGACACCTCTAAGCAGGGGTTGTCACACTGTAACGTGTACCAGTCTCCCCTGGTAAACTGATACAGCCCCGGAAGGCACAGGCTAGCTGAAGCAGAATAGGGCCCACACCTCATGGTTTTCACAAATTTCCAGGCGGTACTGATACCGAACACAGTTTAAGAACCAGGCTCTAAAACGCTTCTGCAAAGCCACGCTCAACAGAGGAGAGGCAGAGCTGGGAACTGTGGTTGCCAAGAATATCAGGGTGACTAAAACATGCTCTCTTCAAGAAACACACACTCCATCAGGCCATGGAAGGGGAGGGTGCATGAAAGGGAATAAAAGGAGAGGGGACAGAAAGAGGACAGAGGAGGAAGGGATGAGCAGGCGGCGCTGAGGGACGGGAGGGACATACAGCGGAAGACAGAGTTTTCGTCCGCCATCGAGTCATGTGGCACATAACTTTTTCCTAAACATCCACTTAGTTAAACCTATGTTATTTCTATCTCTGATTATAAATCATCGATGAAGCACAATATTGAAATGCCCAGTTTCCATTACCAAAGGTTATCCTCTATTCTCCCGGCCGGGCGTGGCTCAGTGGTTGAGCATCGACCTAGGATCCAGGGGATCGAGGTTCGATTCCCGGTCAGGGCGCATGCCCCGGTTGTGGGCTCGATCCCCAGCAGGGGTCGTGCAGGAGGCAGCCGATCAATGACTCATCATCGATGTTTCTCTCTCTCCCTCTCCCTTCCTCTCTCTGAAACCAATAAAGTTACATTTAAAAAAGTTATCCTGTATTCCAATTTATACATATATATTCATATGTGTGTCTATATACATAAATATATAATCTCATCCTTTTTATTCGATATTTTACCTAGAGATTTTTTAAATGTTCTAGTTGGGTTTCCTAAAGCCTCCAATATTTCACTTAATCGTAACGTGACCTCTGCCACCACCACGACATCAATGTCTTCCATTTTATAGCTGTGAATTACTTCGTTTATCTGCCACAGAAGATAAATCCACTAAAAGAGAAAATACACAGCAAAATCAAAGTATGTTGCATTGCAAAAAAAGTCACACTGTTCAAAACTTAGTACTTCCCTAAAATCACCCTCTGATAATTATATGAAAACGTTATACAGGTACCCCCTCCTTATTAGTGCATCTTAATTATAAATAATATAAAGTTCAATGGTCCTAATAAGATTATGTTTAATAATCAACATGTTTATGTAAACTTACATAGAAGATTCATGTAAGCTTATGGTCTGCATATTGATAGCCATAATGGAAAATTTATCATGTTATTTTTATTTATCAGTGAAGATTATCCCCAAAATTCTCATTCCACCCCCTAAAAGGAGCTGTTATGTTCGCTATCAAAGTCTTCCAAAATAGTGAGGGGAAGCAGATGTTTCAAGTTCCATGCTAGGTGCCTTCAACACTATATCCCCAAAGCTCTGTGCAAAATAAGCCATCACACTTTGGGAGCTAAGACAAGAAAATAGTATTTATGTACCCACATCATTACTTCATCACAGTACCTAATAAAATCATACCCTTGCATCCTAACATAGCCAATCTTAGCAGGCTTCAGAATCACAGGCAACTGTGTTATTGCTAAAATATTTTCTCCTAAGTTTCTGGGTTATAATTATTCACCTGCTCAACTTTTTCCTTCCCATGAAATAGCTCTTTATTTAGTCTAAATATATTATTGCAGAAAAAAACTAAAACTCCTTACTTATTTGTATTTTCTAATATTAACCTTCTTGATAAATTTATCCAAGCTCATTTGACCTTAGACACATTATATTTATTGCTCCCTTAATAACCTGAAACACCTCCCCACTCCCCAAAACTAAATTGGGGCAGAAGTACAGAGAATACACTTAAAAGAAAAGCTGACTCAGCAATACATTTTTAAAGTGATAGTTATACAGATGGATAAATAGGGACAATCTAAATATCACAATTTAAATTAGCAATAACAAAAACATGTGAAAGGGAAAAAAAATAAATACTTTGTTAGTACTGATTTTCTGGGCGAATTTTGCATAGTCATTTCTGGATATACTGAGCCGCTGAATTCCTAATTTGCATTTCTGCCATAAGAACATTATCATGTCCACCACGATTTCTTTATCAGGCTGAACATTCTGAAAATAAAAGTGGTAAAATAAATTGTTAAGAATAGTAAGATATACAGACAACATTTAATGTGTTGAAATCCTAACTCTCAATGTGATCTCATTGGGAGGTGGGGCCTCAGGAGGTAATGAGGCGTGAAGGTGAAGCCCTCATGAATGTAACAGTGCCGTTATAGAAGGGGCCCTCAGAGTCTCTCTCTCTTTTCACCAAGGACACAGTGAGCAGACATCTATGAACCAGGAGGTGCATCCTCATCAGACACCAAATCTGCAGGCACCTTAATCTTGGATTTCTCAGCCTCCATAATTGTAAAAAATAAATGTTTGTTGTTTAAGCTGTCCAGTCTGGCATTTTTTGTTACAGCATCCTGAACAGACTAAGACATATACCAAATGATTTAATCCTCAAAACAACCTACAAAGTGAGTACTATCTCATCATTCCCAGATTACTATCACCCCACTTTACAGATGAGCAAGCTGACGCACAAGAAGATTAATTGTATTTCCCGAGATGAAATGAATAGAGAGTAGCAGAGCTGGGATTCAAACCCATGTAGTCTAGCTCCAGAGATCCGTCTCAATGAATGCTCTAGGCTACTTCTGTCTCTCTAAAAAGAAGTCTCAAACATTTTTAGGCACTTATGTAAGTCACATTTGAAATGTTTATATATGTCTTTTTAAAATTCCTATATAATAATAATAATTATAAATGGCGGTGAACTATTAAGAGAGAGAATGGGAGGTAGGAAAGGATATAGACCAGGGAAAAGAAGAAATTAAACAGAACGTCACAATGGGTATCAATAGATGACCCAGAATGAGTACATCTCCTGTCAAATCAGTGACTTGGCTATTTTCAAAGAAATATAAAGTTACTTATTTTATCTGAACTAGAAAGATAACGAGTTTAAGATTAAACATACAAAACTGAGCTCTTCTAGGGCAGCTCTAAGATTAATTTGTATATATAGCACCTTAGTACAGTGTTTGGGAGCATAACAGAGATCAATAAATGTTTATTGAATTGAACTGAAATGAACTAAAATGTACATGATTTTTTAAAAAACAGGTAGGTCTCAGAGGGAAGGGAAGGAAGGGAGACAGGAAGAGATTAACCAAAGAACTCATATGCACAGCTCAGGGGCACACACAATAGTGTGGTGAAGGCCTGGGGTGGGGTGAGGGCTGAGTAGAGGGAGGAAGTGGGGAAAAATAGGGGACATCTGTAATATTGTCAACAATAAAATATTAATTTTAAAAATATCCTTTTTTTTTTTTTACTAAAAAAAAAAGCCGATAGGTAAAACTTCTTAACTCTCTCCAGCTTTGATTAAAATTTTTGGTTTAGCTTTCCCACTATAATCATTATATTTGCTACCAATTATCTTTCTTCCAAAAATTAAATACCTGTCTCAGATTATAACGTAATTTAATAAACCCAGAAGAAATAGAAAACACTCTAACAGAACTTCTCAAATCCCGCACTGTGTTTCACTTGCCTGAACAAAAGTTAATACAATGCTCTATAATTGTGGTTTTCAAACTTTTTATTAATAGTAAAATCAAATTTTCTAATAAAATCCCATCAGAATCTCAACTAACTAAAATAGTCATGGTGTTACTACCCAAGTTTGGGCTCCCAAGGAATCTCACAGAAGGCCTGGAGATCCTGGAATTCAGTTTTAAAGTCAGTACTGTACCAGTATTACTTAAACATTCATACCCACAAAGAGGTCATTTCTAAATACTGGCCATTATGTACAAAGTGATTCCAGATAATAACCAGGCTTTGTACTTATGAACTGAAAAGCAGTATTTCATTAAGAATAGAAACTCTTCATTAAAACCACTGCCTCATTTCCTTATTAGAAATATAGGAAGTCTAAAAATGTCCTTCCAAAAAAGAAACGGATTAACACCCAAAATGATGACAATAATAAAAAGAGACTTAAAATTGCAAGTTGGGATAAAACTCAATTTCTTATTATAAAGATTAAATATGTAGAGAATTTAGGAAAGGTCCAATTCTTGTGATATTTTAAATCTCACTTTAAATTAGATATAATAGCCTCTCTGATACTATCAAAAATTATCCAAATAGCTATTTCACCTGGGAAAAGGTGCAGACACAGGAATACAAGGTTGTTGCTAAACTGAAAAGATCTTCTGAATATCCATAAGTCTTCATACAAGTATCTCAATTCATAAAGGAAAGTAAAACAAAAACCAATTATAAAATTTCAAATAGAAAAGGCACAGAAACATAGAAATTCTACAAAAATGACACAAATGATATGTTGGCAAATATTATGTCAATAAGACACTTCAGATGTTTCTATATGAAAACTAATCAAAGTGGGCTCTAATTCAACTAAAATGGACTATTATTATTATTATCATGAATCTACAATCTGTATGCTATGTCCAAAATGGAAGTGAAGAAGCTGGTAATATTAAAACATATGTAAAACATGACCACTGAAATAAAAACAACAAAAATATCTATTCAGAAACCACTAGAAAAAATGTATCATTACTTGGTACAAATTATTTACTACAATTGAGCAGCCATACAATGCCTTAAGAACATGATAAACCATTAAAAATGGGGTTAAATAATTCTCATTGGTCTAAAAAAATAGAGGCTGCAGATTTTCAATTATATAAACAACTTCTAAGACTTAAAAAGTACTAAAATGGAAAACTGCATGCATACTTCTCTTACCAAACTAATGGCTTTTGATTTACTGCCCTGCTAGTCTCTCACCTACCAACAAGGCAACAGCTAAGGAGAACCACCTTCTGCTACTCAAAACCCACCACCCAGAATAAAATCCATCATCTTTACAAGGCCTAGGATCCTGCAAGATCTGGCACCCACCTATTTCGCTGGCCTGGTCTCCTCCACTTTCTCAAATTCCAGAACCACCACCAGTACACTCCAGCCACACACACCTCCTTGCTATTCCTTCAACAACCAAGCACACTCTCACCTCAGGATCTTTGTACTCCCTGCTCCCATTGCTTGAACATTCTCTCACCTCACCTATACAAAGTATATTTTATCAGATAAAATTACCTTAATTTTTCAAAAATGCAAATAAATACTAACCGTGAAAAACATTTTTTTTAAGGTAAAAAGCTGACTGTCCTTCTTTGTAGATTTCCAAAGGAAAGATCAAACCTTTGTTCCTCTTTATGTTGATTAGCGGTTCCATTGCAATAAGAAGAGTTAAATCCTTCTCTGCTTTCTTTGACTCTGGATCATCCTGTGTCTAAAAGATGTATACCCCACAAGGTAATTAGCAATTCAATGTCATCTTAACAATATAAAAACCAATTAATGATTTTTCACATATTACCTGGAGAAAATCAATAAGGTGTCCAGCTGCAGATACAAATAAACACCATTCCTCGTAGGTAAAAGCTAATTTTATAAATTTCACAGCAGCATCCAGAGAAATAACATTTTTTCTTTCTATAATAAGTTTCAGAAGAGATGTTTTTGGAAAACCAAGCATTCCCTCTGTACCAGTATTTGACACTAGAAAAGGAAAGAAAGAGGTCTGAAAGTCATTCATGCAAAAAAATACTTACTAAATATTAACTATCAGATACTGCCAGGCACTAGGGAGACAATGGAAAAGAAACACAACCCAGGCCTTCATAGAGCTTACACTCTAGTTGGGAGAACAAGAAATCATAATGGGCAAATTCAGGGTGCTGTGGGAACAAATTAGAAGGGCATTGAACACAAAACTTAGGGTATGAGAGTAGTCAGGGAATGCTACTCATGGAATGTCAAATATAAAGAATTAGCAAGAGTTAACTAGTGAAATAGGAAGTTAGATATTAGAGATTGAAAAAGCAGGAAAGAAATCTAAAATAGGAATATATGTTTTATAGTCATCATTATCTACCCACAGTAAATGATACGATCAGCCATGGACAATGTACAGCTACCTAGGACAGAACAGTAAAGGACACCAACATGTAAGAGAAGAGCAGAGGGAGAAAAGGCAGCAAAGAAAAATGTTTAGAGAAAAAGGAGTAGTCAACAGCAATAAATACTGAAGTGGGGGAAAAGCACTGAAGTGGATTCATTTGGTCTGAGCTTGTCAGTTAAGCCCATCTTCTGCCTCAGCTCAGACTTTCTATAACAACCTGAATAATCTCAACTCACACATATGAGCTCACAAATAATGAAAGAAACCTGCAGGATTCCAAGATGGTGGCAGATCAAGTAGAACCTACATTGACATGCTCCCGGGACCAAACTGAAATTACAACTAAAATATAGAAAAACCATCCTGAATAATCAACTGAAGACTAGCTGGAGAGCACCCTCATAACCAAGGACATAAAGTGGAGACGTCATAGAGACTGGTAGGAAGTGCAGAGGTATGAGAGGGCTGGCTGGGAACCCACAGGCAGCAGCTGAAGTTCTGGAAGGATATCTCAGCTGTGGGGGGTTCCCACTGAGAATTCTGGTGTCTAAACCCCAAGCTGGGCTTCCCAGCCCAGAGCACCAGAACTGAGAAAGGTGCCCACATAACAACTGGCTGTGAAAAGCAGAGGGGTTTCTGTCCACCAGGGAGAGATGGCTAGTAACGCAAGTAACCTCTTAAAGGGCCAACACACAAAATTTCATGTGCAGTCACTCACCTTGGGCTCCAGCAGAGAGAGGGCAGAGTGGACTAGAGCTGTGTGAGGAAAATCTATGGGTGCTGGCTCTGGGGATAGAGTTTGGATGGCAGCGATCTGGATTCCTGTGCTGAACCATTCCTCTATACTGCAGAGACATATTTCTCAGGCAGACCTTTACCATCCAGGCAGCTTTTGCCTCAGATGGAAGCAATTGCTCCACCCTGTTGGAAAACCTCTTGACCCCGCCTGTGGAGTTTGTACCTTACTGTGATCTACATCCTGAGGCTCATTAAGAGACAGAATAACAATCAGCCTAGAGGCAGAGGTGGATCTCTGGGTGTTTTGATTCTTTGCCTGACCTGCTTCTGGACCTGGGGCTTGGAAAAGCAGACCTTGGTGTGCATCTTGGTCCTTCCCAAATGCTCCCAGCCTCAGCAAAGGGAGCCACAAGCTGTGGATTGCTGATAGCTCCAAACATGGTACTCAAGGCCAGTCACAAACAGCATCTGGCATTGGCCTGCACCAGAGACCGTCCAGAAAGATGGGAGTCCTAGCAGATCTACCTAATACATAGAAACAAACCCAAACAGGCAGCCAAAAAGGGGAGATTAAAAAAAAAAAAAAAAAAAAAAA